TTGCTCTTATTGGTTAATAAATAAAACACTGATTGGTCAGTAGCCAGGCAGGAAGTATAGGCGGGACAAGCAGAGAAGAGAATTCTGGGAACAGGAAGGCTGAGTCAGACACTGCCAGTCGCCGCCATGACAAGCGAAATGTAAGGTACTGGTAAGCCACAAGCCACGTGGCAATTTATAGACTAATAGAAATGGGTTAATTTAAGATATAAGAACTAGATAGCAAGAAGCCTGCTGCAGCCATACAGTTTGTAGGCAATATAAGTCTCTGTGTGTTTACTTGGTTGGGTCTGAGCGGCTGCAGGACTGGCGGGTGAGAGATTTGTCCTGACCGTGGGCCAGGCAGGACTGCAGAAAACTCTAGCTACAAAATCCTGTCTTGAAAAACAAATTAAGACACCCAGTCCCCCACCGCTTGAAGCCTTGCTGTATTCCCTTTTTCCTGCATACCCTGACAATGACTGCTTCTACTTACTCATGATGATACTAAAGTGTCTATTTGTCTCTTCTACCCAAGCCATCTCTAATGGCTTTATGTAATACTACCTAATCTTGGGGCTAGTCTTTCTCATTTACTCTTCAAATATTTCACAAAATTTATTAAATGGAAAGTGTCCCAACTCCTGAAGGATCACCAATGTTGTTCTAAGGTCTGCACCTATTGGAATCATGTCCATCTGTCCTTTTGTTTCACACACGCATATGTTACATACTGTTTGAATCATATTAAACATGTTGAGTTCTTCAAGCATTTTTTTATGATGAAAACTTTCCAAGTCTCCTCTTACGGTCTGCTGAAATGCATGGTACATTAATCAATACTTATACTACCATGCAATAGCACAACAGACCTTATTGCTCCTACAGAACCATCACTGCCTGCTGATCAATCCTTCCCCATCTTTCCCAACGCCCTGCTCTCCCCAGCCTGTGGTAACTACCATTCTACTCTCAACTGCTTTTAGAGTCCTCATAGGTAAGGTCACATAATAGTTGTCTCTGTGTGTCTTATTTCATTTTACATAATAATCTTAGGTCCAGCCATATTGCCACAAATGACAGAATTTCATTTTTTTTTTAATTTTTTGGTTTTTTGAGACAGGATTTCTCTGTGTAGCTTTCGTCTGTCCTGGATCTCGCTCTGTAGACCAGGCTGGCCTTGAACTCACAGACATCATCCTGGCTCTGCCTCCCAAGTGCTGGGATTAAAGGCATGCGCTACCACCGCCCAGCCAAATTTCATTCTTAACGGCTAAATACTAGCCCATTTGGTATATTGTACAGTGATTCTATACGTTTAGAAATAGATTCATCATTTAGAAAGTGACTAATCATTAACTTCTAATTTTTTCTATGGAACCTCTGTTACAAGAAACTTTTACTAAACCCTTTGCTGATTGCTTTCTAAAGTCATCCTTAAACTTGTTTGGAACCACTAATTACAATTTAGTTCAAAATATTTATCCATATAAAAATTCTTATGAAATAGTGTGATGATTAAGTTGATACTAACTGCACCAAGTTTGGGCCCTCCTACTGAAATATGTAGCCCTGAATAGAACAGGTTATGCACCCACATAAGAAAGGATAGACCCCAGCATCTACTGTGTGAAATGGGGAGAAAGAAGTACATTTTCTCTACAGTGCCTTCCAGAAGTAATAATATATTACATTCCATTGCAATGATGACAACCACTGGCGCCTATAAGCACTTGCCCCATACATGACAGTCGTTATACTTGGTGCTTTTCATGGGTCACTAAAAGTACTTTGAAAAGCACGCTACCTTAAGGCACATTTCTATTTCAAAGACCATGAGACCAGAGGTTCAAGTGAGACAAAGGCCCAAACAACAAATTATCTAGAATAAAGCAGCAAACCTCTTTGAGGCCTACTCACAGAAGGGGTGTGTGTGTGTGTGTGTGTGTGTGTGTGTGTGTGTGTGTGTGTGTGTGTGTGTGTGTTATAGAGATTCCCTAAAGATTAGACACATAAACGCCAGAGCCCACTCAAACAGCCCGGCAAAGAACGGCTCCTGGCTGATAAAGGGGCAGAGTCCCAGCACCAGAGGCCAGGAGTGACCTCACTCTGAATGAGTATCTAGAGACTATTCTAGGGTCTCTGACAAATCTGCAAATCTCAAGGACCTGGCAATCGGGATGCAAAGTGCATGCTGTGGTTGGGGTCACATGTGGTCCTATGAACATGTACCTACTAGGGCAGAGACCTCACATTTTTTTAAAAGCTACGCTCAGGCCACAGAACAGTACTGGGATTTGAAACATAACACTTAATAAATCTTAGTACCCAATGTCTCCTGGAGTGTATCCAGTCTGTAAGCTAGGCTGCAAAATCAGCTTCCTGAAGTGAGGTCTGGAGACCTCTAGTGGTTGTCTGCAGTTCACGGAAAGAAGAGGTTAAAGGCAGGTCAAAGTCTGAAGCAGGAAACCAAGATGCAATGACAGAGGGATGCCTCAGGAAGTTTAGAAACACTTCTGAAATTGACATCTGAAGATAAAATACTCTCGATTTATTCAGACATGACCAATAGGAGGGAAGCAATTGTTCCCTGATGGTCAACTTTACTATAAGGGTCACAGCTCTTTATAGCACCATGTTCACTTTTCACTCTTTTAATGAAATTTAGCGGAATGAATCCCTAGCTCCATAGTTAAAGCACTTGCCAAATGACTGTGAGGGCCAGCGTTTGCATCCCCAGATCCTACACGATGGGCGGTGGTGTAGCAGCTACCTGTAATTCTAGCACTTGAAATAATGGTTTCCCAGAGTGATCTGGCTAGCTAAAACAGCAACACTGGCAAGCTCTGGGTTCACCTGATAGACCTGCCTCCGTGAGTAAGGTAAGGAATGAGCAAGGAAAACATCCAGTAGCAACTCTGGGCCTCCATATGCACTCTCATACACATTCATTTGCACCCTTATGCACGTGTGCCACACACAGGCAAACACAAATATACAACAGGAGTGCACACACTATACATACACATACACATGAGAAAAAGAGAAAAAGATCCATGTATAGCATTATAAAATACACTATTTGGGCCTGACGGTGGTGGCACATACCTTTAATCCCAGCACTCAGGAGGCAGAGCCAGGCGGATCGCTGTGAGTTTGAGGCCAGCCTGGTGTACAGAGCGAGATCCAGGACAGGCACCAAAACAACATAAAGAAACCCTGTCTCAAAAAACAAAATAAAAAAAAAAAAAACAGCATTTGAGGGACCATGAAGAAACAGAATATATGATTCTAGAAAGTTAAAAAAAAAAGTAATGCTCCTTTGTAAATGCAAAACATAGAAGAAAGGAAGAAGCTATCCTTCTCTAAATTCCCACTATATCCTCAAAGAGGGTCAACTCTCAACACCATCTGCAGGTCAGCTGGGGTTCCAGAGGATCTTCACATCTCATCTGGTAGAATGCTGGTCACACTGGAGAAGAGCTTCTGCTGAAAAAGATAACAGGTGTCTGGTGCATCCAAAACACTCCTCACTCCCAGTAAGGAATGGAAAGAGCCTGCTGGCCGCTGGAGCCATTGTCTCGATCATACTACAACCCAACTATGTACTATGAACTATGTACAGCCGAGAAAGTAAAAATAAGTGTAGCTTTCTATAAACAAAATCAATACCAGGTATGCTTTATAGTCAACTTGACAAGATTAGAATCACCATGGAAACAAAGCTCTGAGCATGTATACAAGGAATAATCTAAATAAGGTTAACTGGGGTAGAAAGACCCACCCTAAATATAAGTGGTTCCATTCCACAGACAAGGGTCCCAAACTGAGTGAAAAGGAGATAACCTCTTTTGGGTTGGGAACAGTCTAGGTCATCAAATGAATCAATGATTTTCTTCTAATTCCGTTTATAGCTATTGGGAGATCATGATTTGAAATAGAGTAGGAACTTAAACCTAAAGCATCCAGTTTATTATTACTGCTCCATAGGCAGCCTCTCTGTTCACCAATTAATCACATAAACTTCCCCAATAGGACAGATGCCTCCCTGATGCTGACTGGACATTATAAATGACAAGGATAATTACAGACCACTTAGAGGAATGCAGCACTTTGGCTCATCTTTCAGTTTTAACTTAAATACATACATACATACATACACACACACACACACACACACATATATTGTTGGTCATAGTACTACCTCCTGGGCCTTCTATAAGTGACTGGCACATACCTAAGTAGTAAACACATACAACTTTATTTAACAAGACAAGAGACAAGGCATGATTGAGATCATGTAAAAATGCTACATAGAGTTACTAAGCCTTCACACCACAACAACAGAGTGAGGAGGACCTTGGCAGTGTGTTACCTATGATTTATGAGCACCTTCCAAGAGGGGCATTCCATAGCTGGAAGCCCTCAGCACTGGCTTTAAGCCCAGGCAGGCACGGGAAAACAATTTCCGTCCATGTTCTTTTAATGGTTCCCCATATTTCACCTTCTCATTTCTCAGTCATCCAGCCACTTAGGGAGATGAAGGGAGATGAGAGAAGAGATCTGAATGAGAATAAACCTCAGCAAAGGAGGAATAGCACACAGCTTTCTCAAACTTCATTCATGTTCTTGCATTCCTGGAAAAGCAGACAACCACATGCTGTCTAATTAGGAGCTGGGTGTGCACAGGTGTGGGAAGTAAAATTCACAGAGAGGAGCTCTAGACATGAGAAAGGTGTGTGGCGCCCTAGTCACTGGTCCTCGTGAACACCATAGCCTCACTGGCTTGGTCTTTACCTCATAGAGCTCTGTCCCATGCCAATGGCGAAACATTGGAATATTCATTAAAGAAGTGTCTACTGTGTTTGATAAGAAAACAAGCAAGGTGGTGTTACTCAGCAGCAACTATATTTGACTACATTTGCCTAGCCCCTAAAATACTCTTGAAATATTGGGACAGGATCTTGAATTCTAGACAGAGTCAAGAAAATCCCCAGAAAGCAATGAACCAATCCAACCACAAGTTTTTAAAAGATTTATTTTTTGATTATGTTTATTTGTGTCTGTGTGTGGGTATGTGTATATGAGTGCAGATACCCAAGTGCAGGTGCACATGGTGACCAGAAGGTGTCAGGTCTCCTAGAACCAGAGTTACAGGTAATTGTAAGCTGCCCAACATGGGTGCTGGGAACATGGGTGCTCAGGTCCTCTGTAAGAGCAATACACACTCTTAACCACTGAGCCATCTTCTCCATGCCCCCAAAATTATAATTCTTTTTAGTAGTACAGCATCAGTGTCAAGTAGGAAAGGGTTCAAGAAAGTACTAGAGATATTTTCTCTTGTATATTCATGCTCCCGATCAGCATGGAAGATATTATGAAATTCAAATTACTTCTTTCTCATATGTAATGCTTGCCAACTAAGTACAAGTGTACACTTTGAAGTCTCACTTGAGAAACCCTATGAAAAGAGAGAGCTTCTGAGAAACAAGGGATTTCAAGTAGAGTGGCTAGTGTGGATGACCACAGAGAACATCTGAAAAGGGTTTGTGTAGTTTTAAACTACATAGAGTTAAACAGAAAGAAATGAAAGGAAATTTCCTTTCAAGTATTTCAATAAAGAGAAAAATACCAGGAGTTACTGAATCACAGCAATGGGTCTAAAGGGAGTCTATGTATTTCCTTTCACCTTTGTCCAAGTTTGAAGTTTTCAACAATTAGAAATTTTTACAACATCCTAGTGGCTAGTCATAGTCCTAAAGGACTTCACTGAGAAGTGGGTGAAAGGTCCTTGCCAGATTTAACAAGTACAAAAATTATGAAACTGGCATTTTTATATCTATACTTTATATAGCTGATCAGAATTTCATGAAGTTTAAGAAAAACTGGTTGAAGACCATTCATTACATTTTATACCAAGTGATTTGTAATGCTTTATTCCACAGCAACAAAACACATGTGCCCAAAGGATGTATAAAAACATATGTGTCTTTTATTAAGGAAAAGAAAGCCTTTCCCTGTCACCCTTTTTAAAACTCACAGTATATGCTTTCCTTCTAAGACCTCTGAAAAGTTCTCTTTCACTGGAGAAAACTGGACAGAACCTCTGTAACACTGCATGGCAGAGGCGGGAAATGTTTCTAGCCAAAAGGACAGACAGGAGAGATGCCATTCGTAAGACATCCGGGAACTGAATTCCAGCTACCTCTTGCTAAGCTAAGCTCTCTTTTTTTTCCTTCCAAAAATACGTCATTTAACTGCCTGTCAAAATAACCCTTGCCTGGTCTACCTGATCACACTCCAGAGCTGCAGCCTCCTCTGGATTCCCTCCTCAGTGACAAGCTGCTCAGAGAGCACCTAGTGAACAGCACACGCCCCTCTGCTCCTGTCTCTCTTCCTGCTAGGGCGAATGGCAGTCCATGGAGAGAAGTAATTAATGGGTTCATTACGTATGAAAGCAGCATCCCACCACTTGGCTGTCTGGTTTGAACGGATCCTGTCAGCGTTTCATTCATGTTCAGTGTCTGGGATATGATAAAGCTGTTCTTCCTTTTGGATTTTTCCCTCACCACTCAGAAACCACTAGAGCAACGTGTTAACAGAAGCACTCAGGAAGAGAAGAAATTCTTCACCTCTGCAGACAGGAGGCTGAGGACGGAAAGTTGTTCAGGAGAAAGCCAAGGGAAGCAGAAGGTGCTAGAGAAGAGCCGTGCTTCTGGAACACACAACAACGTTAAAGCAGTGTGATTTGGGAACGTTTGCGATTCTGAATTACAGGTGAGCAGAACTTTTCCAGAGCATAAAACATCTGCAGGAACAATCAGGATTTCTCACCGCTGAGAGAGCCAATGAATTTTTAATAAGTTCTGAGCGCTGTGGTCAGATCAACTGCTGTTATCTGATAAAGGCAAAATTCGCCCTCTGATTTCCATAATCCTATCCAAATGGAGTCTTCGCCTTGCTGTGAGCAGTTCTAACTAACACCAACCACGGGATTAGCGGGCCTCGGAGATGCTGCAAGAAGTAAGACAACACGGGTGAAAGAGATCACCCCAGCACAGTGGAAGAGGCATTTCGAGTATGAGAGCTTAGCATTCCTCACTACGCTTCAGCCAACTGCTGCCAGGTAAGACTCAATTTTATAACATTAATTCATAGCTTGGCTATTGGAATGAAACCTGCTACTGCAGTGCGTGAGCCAGGAGATCTGAATTTCATGTGGTTCTTTCTCCCTTAAGCTTTATGCAGATTGAAACCTTCTGAGGTAAACACCTGTTTCTACTTAGGCTGCACCTTAGTCCCTCACAACTTGACAATAAAATGGCTTGCAAAGCCCATTCATTTTTCACTGAACAATCCCACCTTTTTCTTCATTTTTTAAGAATGACAATTTTATTTAGTAACTTGAAAGTATAAGAAGAATCCAAAATGCTGCCTAAAAGGCACCCACAGAGGGTTCACCAAGCTTGCCAGGAAACCTGGGGGAAAGGAGGGATTCGCAGACATGGTTAGCAACATTTCTGTCAATGTTTTTAAAAGGCTCAAAGACTGACTTTAATTCTTAGCAAAAACAAACAAACAAACAAAAAAACCCTAAATTGTGTTGTCACTCTCATTCACACTGATGGAAACAACCTCTAATGGGGTGAATTTACCCCAAAGATAGCAGGGATATTTCTGTAGCAGAGCAAATAAGGATATTTAAGAACAGAACAAAAAGAAGTCTGGCACATTAAAACCTCAAAAGTTTTCATCCAGGCTGATAATCCAAACTAAAAATGCAAAGGACTAGTGAAGCCATGGAAGAATTTTAAAGGGTAGAGTGTCTTGTACAAACTCCCTAGCACTCGCTCCAGAATGAGGCTTCTAAAGAGACTTTCCGTGTAAAAATCACAGAAAGGAATCATCAACTGTCCTTCACCTGATAACATTTTAATTTCTTCCATAAAACTTCATTGGTATGAAGTCACTGTCATAAGTTCAATTGAAAAGTCAGGTTCAAAAATCTTTGCTATTTCTATTAGTTTGGAAGGGTGGAGATAAGAAAACAACAAATGCACACCACACCTAACTAAAGAAATTTGCTAAGCCAAGAAAAACTGTCCAAAGTTGTTATTCTAAAAACAAATGTGAGCACTGGGGAGATGGCTGCTGAACAGACAGACCACTTGCCTGGCCTGTGCAGGCCTGAATTCCGTCCCCAGAACAAAGTAATAGGAAGGAGGAAAACTGCTCCATTTCACTGAACTCTTGGTTTTCGGTTTTTAACTAAGAGAGTGGGATACAGCACTCCTCTCTGACTCTTTTTAAGACACTGCATAAATAGTCTTAAATGTCACATACCTTTTGCATCTAAAGTCATTAAAGACTCTCACTTGTCATTTTCCAGTAACAAAGGCAAGCAGTAATTCCAGTACAGATAGTGACCTGCCTGTCAACTACACCAATGTGTTTCAGGGGGAAAAAAAGACTATAAATTCCAAAGTTTCACTTATATAACAGCCTAACTAAAGGGCTAGGTTTTTTCTTTTTTTCCCAAATCCTAACAGTTGAGACTTACTTGATCGTTACAGGTTCTTTTCATCTGTTTCCACCTTGTTTTACAGATTGACATGCTTCAAAAAAAAAAAATGAATTTTAAGTGAAAAATGCCAAATAATATTTCAAATCATAATTTAAAAATTTAGTTATCTAGAGAAAAAGGAAATTTACAACACTGTGCAGAATGGAAGGGGATGTAAAATAATGGCCCTGGTATTTTACTTACTCACTGTTATGAGGAAGATTGATGTACCACTTCTCGGGGACTTTGCTTCCTTCCATAGCTTAACCTCCAATGACAATAGATGAACAGACAGACACCAAATACCAACTCCTAAGCTAGTCTAGGGAAGCATTAGTGCCAGTGAACCTTCACTTTCTCTCCATTCAGAAAGCTACGTCATCCTCAGCAACAGCTTCCAAAAAAGACATAGTAATTCAGAACAATCTACAATTACCAATGTACTAAAAAGCTAAAAAGCACTGTTATCTTTAGCATCTCATAGGTACAAATGGGTAAGGTTTTTTTTTTTTTTTTTGAGACAGGGTTTCTCTGTACAGCCCTGGCTGACCTGGAGCTCACTCTGTAGACCAGGCTAACCTCACTCAAGATCTGCCTGCCTCTGGGCATGTGCCACCATGCCCAACGGGTTTAGTTTTTCAAATTGTTTGTGTGGGGTGCATGTGTGAGACAGAGACAGAGAACAGAGACAGACAGAGACAAAGAGAGACAAGAACAGACAGAGACAGAGAGAGTGGTGTATGGGTAAGTAGGTGGGCGACCATATATGGAGAGATCAGAGGAAACTGTGGAATTGTCTCCTACCTTTATGGGGGATTGAACTCAAGTTACCAAGTTTACATGGCAAATGCCTTTGGTCACTGAATCATCATTTAAAACCATGTAAGGGGTTTTTAAGTGAGTACCTTAAGACTGAGTTTATTCATGAGAATTTTCCTTAGTATCAGTAGATTTAACAATTCATGAGATTTTGAATCTTGGTGAATAGTCAATGACTACTAATTGTTTCCGTGAATCAATAAGATACAGGGTAAATGTTTTAACTGTTGTATCCTTATTAGTGATATCTATTATGCTATATCTTAGATTCTGGCCATTTGTCTAATCCAAACTTCCATTTATATCATCCTATAAGTTTCCTATTTAAAGTATAAGAAAAATAGGTGCATGGGTCAAAATGAAGCTCTTCCACCAAGTGTCTCTGCTATCATACCAGTCTTTAAAAGGAAGTCGTTTTGCCTGAAATGACAAGCAACATAATTTTATTGTTATGTTTGTATGTTAAAATTAGAAATATATATAAAATTCCTGTTAATGTACTAGCATTTATCTTATTAAGAAGCCCTATTTTAAGTGCTTTAAATATGTGTTTGCTTATATACATTTGTGTAACTTACAAGTTTTTAATTTTTTGAAACAATTTTTTTAATGTAGTATAGTGGTGCATGCAGAGTTCTGCTTAATTCAATGGGTATTTCAGTAGGACTTCAGCAGGATTGTGTGTTGTGGTTCATTTTCTTTAAGAAGTGACTGAGTTTGAATAAAGATGTAACTCATCATGGACATTCTCCTCCTCTCCAGCTTGTTCCTGCTGAGAGAGAATGATCTTTGGTTTGTGACATCATGGTCTATGACTGGGGAATTGGCTGATATCAAATATGATTATACCCTTTCAGAGGGGCTAGATGCAGAAGAGCTGCAAGCATGCTCATTTCAAGTCACACCACTGAGACACCAGAAAGATCTGTAGCAAGAGCTGCATTAGGAAAGAAAAATGCTTTCACAGCACCTCTCACTTTTCAGCATCAACTACAAAGGATAAAAGTACCACTTTACGGCTTACCTCACTAATCATTTGAAACATCGTGGGGGATGTAAACATCATGTTACTTAATTTCACAGATGAGGAAAAAACAAGATAGAAGAAAATTCCAGTAAGCAAGCAAGAGACATTAGCAGAGCAAGAAAAGGAGTGAGAAAAGAAGTCTCAGGTGCAAGGCTGCCCCCAGTACAACGGGGGACATCAATGCTGCTCAAAAAAACTTGAGAAAAGCTGTCTCAGTACACCTCAAATGGGAAAGACAGGGCCTCTCACTGAGAGAGTCCCAAGTATACATTCTCATGTGGAGCCCAGGGTAACTAGTGTGTGACATTCAAACTAGTATGGTAGACTGGGAGTGAGAAGGGCCCAGTTAACACCCTTCTAAGAAAACAAGAATTTGATAAGAGAGAATCTCCTTCATTAGTAAAAATACTGTGTTCCATAACATCCTTCAACATGAATTTGCAAAGAAAATATAAAAAGAATTCAGGAATTATAAGTCGGAACTCAACACAGGAAGTGAAGCCAGATGCTCCTCTTAACAACGCATGTACACATAGAAACCACATTCCCTCTTGTCATCAGCTTTGTCTGTAACTACAGTTAGCTTCCAATGACAGTGGCAAACAGACGAGTCTTCCACAAACACAGGTGTCGTTTCCCTTTAGACTAATAGCAATTGTCCCAGCTCAAAACCCTAGTCATCTGTGATGGCCTGCGAGGTATAGAACATACACAAATATTACATACAAAGCAAAACATCTCTACACATGATTACAAGCCAACCTCATTATTTATGGTAACCCCTTTTGCTTGAAATGACAGAATGTGACAAGACTGTAAAAGCACTTATCTGCTTCTATGTGCTGATAAATTGCACTGTATTATTGAACAGTTGGACAATCCTGACATCCTCTATGTTTCACATAACATAAAATATTAGGGGCTGGAAAGATGGCTCAGAGGTTAAGAGCACTGGCTGCTCTTCCAGAGGTCCTGAGTTCAATTCCCAGCAACCACATGGTGACACAACCATCTATAATTCGATCTGGCGCCCTCTTCTGGCATGTAGGCAGAATACTGTATACATAATAACTTTTAAAAATATTAGTCAAATAGCTCAAGAATCCAGATCAATCAGAAAATGCTTTTATAGTTCTCATGTGCAATGTCATGTTGCTATTGTCATCAGAGCACACGATCCTTCCTACTTATCACCATAGAAACACAGTATCAAATACTGAGCTCTTTAAACAACCAAGCAAGAGACAATGTCCAGTTCAGTTACTCTAATAAAAACCTTGAACTTTCTGGAACAATAATCCAAAGAAGCTGGCTGGTGTACAATTAAAGTCTTGGTTTGTATCAGGGCACTCCTCTAGTACTTAATCTCTTAGCTCTCACATACTGTTATAAGGACAGTCTTCTTCTACAGGTGGTCATTTCTGGGGACTTGTAACACCTACAAAAAAGCCATTCATGGCTAGAAACTGCCTTAGCACTTTGATACTGCTTCTTCTCTAATACTTTGTCAGGTTACCACTGAAAATGTATGTTTGTCTTGTCTAGGAAACTCTGCATTACTTATGGGTGAGAGCCATAAGAATAATGATCATACCCATTGTCTATTTTCAAGTATGTTCAGAAATAGTTAATCAGTGGGTGTGCTCAATAAGTATGAAAATATATATTCTAGTAGTACATTCAAGAACAGTCTCAAACAGTCTCAAACAAGCAGAAAAACAGTTCCTTCACTGGACGAGGGCAAGTAGTTTACTCAGTATCATGGCCTTTTAGAGCACTTGTACTGAAATAAAAGCTAAGTAGAAACCATACCCATTAAGAAAACTATGGTATTAGCAAATGAACAAATATAATATAGCATATTTATCACTTGAAATATGGAAATCACATTTTCCACACTATGTTGAGATCCAGGAAATCAATAGTCTCAAAGGATTTCAATTGGTTTTGCTGTTAAAAGGTGATTACAGGAAACTGTGGGCAAACATTTTGCAAAGAAACTGAAGAGATAGGGCCTGGGGAGAAGGCTCCAGAGTGCTGCTCTTTCAGAGGACCAGGGTTCCATACCCAGCACCCCCATGGTAGATTGCATCTCTGGATCCAGGGGATGTGATGCCCTCTCCTGGCCTCCTAGGTCACCAGGTACACATGTAGTGCACAGACACATGCAGACAAATACTCATACACAGAAAATAAATGAAAAAAATAAAACACAGAAACTGAAGAGATAGTGACATCAGCTTTCGGATGGTGAGAGCAGAGAAAATTACACCCTCAAAATCTTACATTTATTTTCCTTTTCCCTTCAGCCCTTAGACTGTGCTCAAGTATCTCAGACAAATCTTCCTGAGTTTGTGAGTCAGCCTCACCAGAACCTCAGGATTTCCCATCAGTTAAATCTATGCCCAACAGTCGTGGTTTCTATACGAGCAGGGGCAGTGGCAAAAGCCTGTGCTGTGATGGAAATGAAGGCAAGCATAGCTGGTATTGCTTTAGAACTCATCCTGGGTGCCACGGTCAAGTTAACTGCAGGAAAGAAATGATTAGATGTATGTCTTCACCATGTCTAGAGTTCGATGTTTGTGTGCACAGCTTAAGATCTGGAGTTAGTTTTGTCATCCCATATTTTAGCAGTTACAGTCCTTCAGGAAAGATCTTGGCTAAACTGTCACTATGGAATGCACAGAAACCAGATCTTCTCTGAGACAGAAAGGCCTGCACGTTCCCTGCTTTTGCCGTCCCTCCCATGCTCTTCCGGGACACTTCCTGAAGTCTACACATTGTCATTGTTCTGCCACCTACAGGATTCACAAAGGCACGCTCCATTTTACATGTTTTTGAGTCCAAACAGATACCGCCAAGGACCAATCCACAATTCCTCACGTGAGTCATGTGAATCAATAGTATTTTCTAGCTAAGAGGATACAGGCTGCAAACCAGCATTGCCCAGCCATATAGAAGCCCACACGGTTATTGCATTGCCTCAACAATGATCAAGCAACCAAGATCTAGGATTCAAATAGATTTAAAGTTTATTTTAAACATCTATAATTTGAGTTGGGTGAAATATGCTGGAAGTAAATAAAATGAACAAGATCTCAGTAAATTATATCATGTGTAATCAGGAAGTCAAGCATAGAAACTAAACAGTGAAATTTTGCCATAAAATGTTTCAGAATGAAATGTGAGAAACCAAAAGAATAGTTAGAAATACCAATAAGGAGGACCCTTTCAAATACTCCTTCCTTAACATTTTGCCAATCATTTTTATCATCCTTAGCTGATTCCAGGCTATGGGCTCAGTAACTTAACTGACTATGAAAGCAAGAGAGAGCCTGAGTACTTAAACCTGAGCTTCAATGTAACTGAGTATCATAGCACGTTATAGTAGATAAAATTCACTTAAAAAGGGGGGAATAAGTAATTCCAGAATGTGGGAAGCAGAGTCAGCCAGAGCTACATAGTGAGTGTAGTGAGTGCTTGCCTATGCACAGTACCCTGCATTTGGTCCCCAGTACCTGCCACTACCACATCAGCAAGGCATGGTGGCCCACACCTGTAACCCCAGCACTAGGGACATACAAATTGAAGGATATGAAGTATAAGGTTACCCTCAGCTGTAAAGCAAGCCCTAGGCCCCTGAGCT